AAAGACAAACTTCAACATCAACCGTAGACGAGATTCTTTTTCTGTCTTCCACTGCAAGGCAACTATTTGAAAACCAGAGTCCAAACAAATATCAGCTTTAGATGACAGTTATCCAAGTAGAACAGGTTAATATTATCTCATAGTCATAATAATAACAGATCTACGAACACATTGGAGAACTGAAAGCGGGCAAAAATAGATTGACCCAGAGAATTGAAGAAGAAAATGGTTCAATAAGATACAAAAAAAAACCGGAGGATATACCCGTTGACACACATGTAAAAACCCTCATAAAGTATCGATCTAAGAAAAGAACTGAAGAAGTGCTTCAATAGATTAGGGATTAACTCACAATAATTATTACTTACTGGTCCTTGTTTATTCAGAGGACATTCGAACAAAATAAGTTTAGAAACCTCAACTACAGTTTTCCACCCCTTACAACCTTGGGGTAAACCAAATAAATTACTGACTGAGTGTCTTTTTGGTAGTACAGAACGTCAGGTCAATTTCAATATTGTAACTTTTTCAGTGCTTATGAAAAAAATTGTTATTCAAATTTTATGTACACCCTTTAAGGGTCTGTATCTTAACAAGGGATGCTCCAATGAAGTTTCTTCATATGAAAGATCCTATCTAAGGAATCGCCTCCTTTAATGTTTCACACTTATTCAGTTAAACCCCGTTTGAATGAGAGGCACTAAATTAAAGCAGTCAAATGATTCTGAAGATTTCTTGAGTAGTTATTTTACTACTACTACCCTACCCATTAACCTACAGGTTAATGGGTAGGGAGTTGAGACTGGTCTGAACAAAGTGTTCCTTTAGATGATTTGAAAATAGGTAATATTTCTGCAAGTATATGAATCTAATTATCGCCTCAAGGAAGGGAATGATTGATTATACAATCACAATAGGTTTTTAAAAGGTTTCATTTTTATACATCTTATTTAAAGTATTGAAGACAGAAGAATCAAATTAAAATTGTTGTTCGCTACACAGTGGAAGTCTTCTTTTGATATGTACCGGAAAGTTCTACGGCGACGTCGAAAGACAATCTCGAACTCGGATCCGTATATTGAGCCGGTGGTGTGGAATTATGCTGCGTAATGTGAGGGGTCGAAGGCAGCAAACCGTAAAGAGTGTGTAGTCGACTCGGTGCGGAGGGTGCATAGATTTGCCGCCTGTTTCACAAGAAAAGCGAGCTGCATCCGCCCGCATCCGCCGCCACCCTTTCCTCCATCCTTGACCTAAACCAAATATCAACACTTCGATTTTATCCTCTGCTTTTTCTTTTAAGTCATCTATCGATCGTGAGTTTTCCTGAATTGATTAACCGGTAGTTGTGTTTCAAATGTGCCCTTGCAAAATTGCACAGGACATCTAACAATCGATATGGTGAGATTTTTAACCCTCTGTTCAGCTTCAATATGTTTTTCATACATCAATGAAATGAAGTCAGAAAGAATACAACAGGAGGTTCGATTTCGTCTATGTCTCAAAAAACACGCAACCTCTTGGATTTGATGTAAAGGTTTTCAAGAAATGATTTCTAATAAATTCCCTACAACAGTTATACATTGCCTTATATTCGCTTGAAAGATAGATGAATGGCTTGTTCCTTTGTTACTCAGTTTGCTTTTACAGTTTTTTTGTTGGATGGCCTTCAAACGGACAATGTCCAGTAAAAAGCCCTTGAGTTTTGGGTGAATACTTTTTCTGTTCTTCTATTGTTTTCTTAGAAGTTCCCTTACTGAAAGATTTTTTGTGTGTTCCTAGAGCTAATGTAGCCTGGTTCTTTGGGAGAACATTATTCCGTTCATTCACTAAGAATTTTAGAACCCAGTAGCACCTACGGCCTAATGACTTCGACAATTGCGGAACTAGCCAAACGTCACCACATACTCAATCCCTAAAGAGATGGAATGGAATCAAAGGATGCAGTCTTACCAGGTTCATTTTGAGCGACCCTGGGAAGCTGCCGCCGGAGAAATATCTGGCAATGACCAGGAAAAATCGACGTTAATTAGTAGGATTTCTGACTGGCCACTGTCAACTAAGAAAACACCTCCACAATATGGGGCTAATGGGCACACCTCTAAGCAAGATGTGTGAACAGGAAGATGAAACTGTCAGGAATATCCTATGGGAATGTCCGGAGTTATCGTCAATAAGAGATGTCTCCCAGAGACCTGTCCACCTTCCTGGAAAGGACAGGATGGACGATGACCTAGGAGGACAACTCCTCGGGAGGATGTACAATGGGTCCTAGACCACCATCCAACAGTCGCGACTTCAACGCAAAGTCGCGCGACTGGAACTGCAGGAATGGAAACACGAGAGGCAGAGATATAGTCGGAATTCTAGGAGAATTCGAGGACATCGCGGTAGTAGCACCGAACACCCCAACACACTTCCCGCGAGAAGACCAAGTCCCAGATATTCTCGACATCGCACTAGTGCAGAACATCGAAACTACGGAGATGGAAACACTAGAAGAAGGTTCGTCAGACCACAACCCCATCCTATTTACGATAGGAAGAGGTGAAGTGGAAACAGACAAACCAACAAAGCGGGTCATATACTGGATGAGATTCCAGCGAGCCATACACGGTGCGATACCATGCATCGAAACAAAAACGGATCTGGAGAACGCCACACAACAGCTGCAACAGGCGATCACCCAAACGATGGAAAGAAGCGCACGGGAAGTCCTAGTCCTGCGCTATAACTTCCAAGAGCACCTTCCACCAGAAACGATGGAACTGATAAGAATAAGAAGACGCCTGAAAAGACAGTACGAAAGGACACGTGCACCTATGGACAAAAGGTGCATGCAGAGAGCCAACAGGATACTGAAAGAAGAATTGAAAGCTATCCGAGAAAGACAATGGACTGCCCGTCTGGAAGAACTAAACACTGAAGACCAGTCTGCATGGAGAATGCAGAAAGTACTCAGGAACGGACCTCTACAGCCATGCCCACCAATACATGGCGAGCAAGGAATCATCTACAGTGACGAAGGCGGAGGGATTCGCAGACAACTTCGTAAGGCAGTGCAGAGAGAATGACGTCCCGTTCATGGACGAGGTAGACGAAATAGAGAGGCAGGTGGAAAAAACGGTACGAAGACTGAGACAACGAACGGACAACGCGCAACCCCTGGCCCCGACATCTCCCGAGGAAGTGAAAGACATACTGAGACGTCTATCCACTCGAAAAGCACCAGGCCCTGACAACATAACAAACCGGGCACTGAAAGTACTACCGCGCAAGGGTTTACCAGCCATAATTAACATCATAAATGCTATACTCAGATTGCAGCACTTCCCGTACCCGTTCAAAGAGGCAACGGTTATCCACATCTCGAAGCCCAAGAAGAACCACCTGTTCCCAGACAATCACAGGCCAATTAGCTTACTTCCTTCCATAAGCAAAGTGGCGGAGCGTGTCATCTTGAGAACTAGAGAGAACTAGAAACCCTCCTAGATGAGCAATGCGGTTTTAGATCGGAACACTCGACAGAGCTGCAAGTCCTGAGGGTAGTAGACTTTGCGACCGAGGGCTTCAACCTCGGCAGAAAAGGACACAACACCGGAGCTATCTTCTTAGACGTCTCCAAGGCGTTTGGTATGACAAACTACTGGCCAAAATGTGCGATTTCGAATATTCAAAACCAATGGTAAGATTAATTCAGTCTTTTCTAGCTGACAGGCGATGCCGTTGCAGATTAGGTGACGAATTATCAACAGTTCGACTACTGGAAGCCGGAGTCCCGCAAGAAGCAGCCCTTTCGCCACACCTCTCCTCCGTATACAAAGCGGACGTGCCCAAGCCAGAGAACAACTTTAACAAGTTGGCGGTCTACGCGTACGACACGGCCCTGCTGGCGAGATCCACGAGCCAAGTACATGTCACAAGGTACTTGCAATAACAGGCGAACAGATTAGAGGAGTGGGCCAAACTGTGGAAGATCAGTATAAACCCTGACAAGAGTCAGGCAATTCTGTTCACTCGCAGGTTTGTACAACCGGAAGGCAACTTTACCTTCAACGGACAAGATATTCCGTGGACCGGAGATCAACCTTAAACAAGAGATCAACATTTCAGTCTCATGTACGGCAGAGAATTGGAATGGCCAGACACTCCAGACAACGGCTGGCACCAATCATAGGACGCAGAAGTAACATGGGGTTGAAAGTGAAGTTGCTGATGATCAAAACCGTTCTCACGGCACTGCACTGCATGCACTGCCTGGGGCCAGTGCGCACAGACATACAGGAAGAGCTTACAGTTGTTCATGAACGCGAGTGTAAGGGCCGCCGTAAACGCACCGTACTACATCCCCAATAGATTTATGTACAGAGACTTAGAGCTGGACACGCAATATGTGGACGTGCATATGAGAGAACACGCAGAAAGCGTGTTCGATAGAATCAGGTCGCACAACAACCCAGCGCTACGCGATCTAAACGATGCGGTGAACATGGAAGACCCCAGGTTCCGAGAAAGGGACAAACACCCAAGGCCGACGAAACAGAATCTACGACCAGCCCCACGAGTCGCCGTCAGGCGACTCCGGTAAACATATTAATCAGACTTTCTTTCAGCAAGTTCACCGCAGAACAACTCGACCGCGATTCAATTATCCTTAGATTCACTGAGGAATGCTCGACGCTAGTAACAACAGCCGCCGGTTAGTTTTTAGGGGCCCCCATGCAAAAATTCAGCTAGGAATAGTCATGACAAAACACTTTTACCGATCGCGAAAGAATAGCACCTAAAGGCTGACTTTCGACCAAAGAGTCAGATGTCAATCTTGCTGAAGTGCTCATCAGTAAGTTGAGGACCGCTCGGAGAGCAATATCATTTGAATTGTGATTAGACTGGAATAAAATTATTATTAACTACAACCCTGCCTCGTAAACAGCAAAAGCATATACTATGATGTGTTCCAAATAAATGTCTCCATTAACTGATGCAGTAAAAGTAGTACTCACGCTCGGTATATTGTCGTTGGTACAGACTCCTTCCTGCAACAATCGGTCTCTGATTTCCCAGGCGAAAATCGAGGGGCACTCTCTTTTGTAGGATGAGATTTTCGAAACTACTTCCGCCGTGGCTACTCTCGGTTTCGATCCGCCGATGGCTCTTGGCCTGATCGATCCAGTCTCGTAGTATCTGGGAACGGAAAAAGTTAAGGTGCTTTACAGACATCAAATATCTGAAATGGCAATTGTTTCAAGTGAGAAAAATTCAAATAGTATCATCTATAGCGCTGACAGTTCTGTAGTGAATATGTCCTTCAGTGGGAATGAAAAACAGTGGAAAAAATAGATAGAAAGCGAATGAGAGAATACAAAGGTTGCAGTCACAATTATTCGAAAATCACTACATACATACAGTTCCTTGCTGTGTCTGTCTCTAGGTATGAAAGCGACAAACTAAAAAAATACTGGCACTTGCCATATCCTACTGTGTAGAGGAGGTCAATTTTTCGAATTAATTTCGAATTACTTATTTCATAGAATAGAATATTTATTTAACTATATACTATATACAAAAGTACATTTATAGCAAGTCAGTTAGATAAAAAATACATAAAGATATATAAAAAATATATAAAAAATACCTAGAAGGACATAGTAGCGACAAATAAAGATTGCCACGTTGAGTATACTTATGATCATTCGGATATAAAAAATGAAATAGGAGTAGGATCTGAAAGGAGTATTCAAAGACGTACTTCAAGCTGTTGCATATATTCTTTAAACTCAACCACTGAATAGAAGCAGTGCTGCAAAAAATAAGTGATACATTGAACAGATCTAAGTTATTATGATATTGGTTTCCCAGCTTCAAAATACGAAACATCGGACTGATATGGAATTGATATGGAAAATATGTATATGAAGAATGTCAGGATTTCTCGTATTTTTTTTAATATGGAAAGTTATCAGTTAAAGTAGTTCTGGGCAGTTTATCTCATTATTTATTAATTAAGAGGAAACTCGAGGTTCATAGAAATTCTCCTATCTTCCAGTGATTTTATATTTAACTTGATTAAGAGTTGACTGTACTCATATCAAAGTGAAAAGTACAATCCTTAAAAATGTCTTTCGAACATTCTCAATTTTTTGCCATAAAAAAGATGTAAGGTAGATAAAAAAATTAATTCATACGAATTATGCAATGAAGACAACAATATTCATAAACATAAAATAGTGGACTGTTGGAAAATAAGGCGGATGTTCAAATTTAGCATGTTTAGTTTATTGGTGAGAGGTATAAAAGTTGAACGACAAAATTGTTTCAAAGAATTTGCATCAAATTTCGTGTAATAAATGGAATTAAGTGCACAAAAACACTCGAAATGTTGACAGTGGCATAAGGTGTTTGTAATCCGAGTCAAATTTTTTTTACAAGAGTATTGCATTTCTGGTGATTGGAAAAAGTGATGGTTTTGGGGGTTTCCAATTTTTTGTCATTAAATTCAGTTCCAAAGAAGTATAGGTACGCTTCGAAAATTTTTCACCCTAGAAATATCTGAATGGCGTCGAATAGACCAATTTTGTCACCCAGTGGAGAAGATGAATCACGAAACCAGCATATGTAGGTACCAGTATTCATAAATGAAACATGATTTTAAATGAATCGAAGAATAAAAAAGAGAGGAATTTGATGAATTTTGTATTTTTTTTTCTAATATCAGTTCAAGAGTGACAAAAATACCTTAGCGGATAAAAACATACATAACGACAACGTTAAATTATAAAAAGATCATACCTGTGTGGTTCATTTCGAATAATTGTGTATTGAACAGTATACGATTTTGGATCGGCGATTTTAGCTGATCATTTTCAGTTTGAATAAAAACAAAATACATTTTCCTTAATGTACTTTTATTAGGAGATAGTCAACTTTGTCTATGAACCAGGAAACGAAGAAATATTTCTAAAAATGTCAACAAAATTCAAGATGCAAAGTATTTCACAAAAGTATAGTATTTACATAAATATTTGCCCAAATATGTATGCAAACCTGTATGCATTATTTTTTTAAATATTTCTTCTTCCAATTATCACATATATTATGTACTTGTTATGCACTGTTTGGAACCTTTGGTGTAGTAATGAATATTACTGGAATTTTTTCCCAATCCCAAACCGTTCTTATAAACTTCCTCTTGAAGATGATCACTTGGTGATCGAAACATGTGTCGAGGTGTTGAAATAACGGTTTGGTGTTGGGAAAAAATCCAGTAGTATTCTATACAGGTATTATGGTGTAAAAATAGATATATACCTGCCCAGGATCTTGGAGACGCATCCGTTGGAGACTTGGAGGATTCTTGAGATGTCGCAGGGCCGGGCTCCCGAATGTGCCAGTTCGACGATTTTCTGTCGGGTAGAATCGGGCAAGGGTCGCCCCCCGACAAACACCCCTCCTAGTTGGTTCACGCCGCTATGCCCTGTCCACAGTCATACTATCATTAGTTTTTCTCTAATTTAAAAAATAATACGGGGTATATTCAGAATACAGAAGCTTTGTTTTCTCAATTACTGTAATACGAGAGAAATACAGGCAGCTGTATTCCAATCTACCACGCGAATCTAACAACTACAGTGTGTCTCAAATTTTATTCAAGAAAAATATATCGCTTTCAACATTAATCCTTGAAAATCTACTTATATTGAATTTCTTATTGAAACGTCACCTTGAATTGAACGCTACATAGGCTTCAACAGCTACTTTTGATATAAAAATCACGAGACTGTTCTAATTTGAAATGAGGTACACTGTATATCAACTAAAAATAATGTATAACTGTGCACACCAATAGGGCGTAGTAACAAATTTCCAGTTCGTTGTTGAAACTATCTCACTTCACAATGAGAACACATCTGACATTGAAAATCATCTATCAAAAATACTCATGAAATGGATTCTCATCATGAAAGATTTTTTTTTCAGTTACTAATCTGGATGAGTTGAACGTTACAACGTTTCGTTGACCCTCCAAATATATCATTAATTTAATTTTGATGGTTCATTGACATAACATCGAATGAATTCTCATTTCAGTGAAACGTCTCCAGGTTTCTCCAAGACAACTTGATTTACCTGGAAAAGAAAAATTAGATAAGAATACAATGAAAAGTTTTCTATAGTAAAAACAGACAGACAAAACTGTAACTAAATGTAACTCAAAACAACATTATTGCATGTGTAAACACAATTTTCATCGAACGTTATCAAAATGGTTTGGTAACGCTAACAATTTAGGAAATAGTATTAGCGTTATCAAAACGGATTCAATGAATTGTGAAAACATCTACTTTGAACTGTGTGAAAATTCAATGACAAAAATCCTCTAATGCGAAAGAAAGTGATGTTTTCAATCAGTTGAACGGCATGATGACTGGGGAAATTAAGACCTACGTAGACTGTTCAATATATAAGGTGAATGTTCAAATTTCGCGGGCTAGGTAAATTCGATTAGCGTTTTTTATTTTTTTATATTGTTACACTCTTTTCAATTATACTTTCACAATGGGGAATGTTCCTCGTGACGAAAATCAAGTAGTTTTCATAAAAGAGCTCTACAACAACGCATTTCAAACTTATCATTTCAACCTTTTTCTTTGAAAAATTATTTAAATACTTAAAAAAGAAGAATGAAATAATGCATTCAACATTTAAAGGGATTCGTTTCTATTTCACCATTTGGCAACATCGGTTATAGCTAATAAAGGACAATGAATCTGTTACCTGTATGAGACAAACAAAGATGACATATTTCAGAGGCGTGCTGTTCTGTTTACTTATGTTCCGAGTTCCGAGACATTCTGTGACATATGATATTTTGTGCACCTAACCTATCTTCCTCTATATAAATAAATAACAAAACAACTGTTGTTTATGTGGCTTGTGGAGGTGGTATTGAACTATAATTTATATTTTGCCTTAATTGTTGATTTATAAAGATAATTTTCCTTTTTTAAAGTAGAATATCTGGGTACGTATAAATTATTTCAACTTGATATATCCCTTTAAAAATTAAAACCCAACATTTGAAACATCAGTTTGAATACTTTTCGAAGTGAATTTGAAAAACTCATGAATAAAACTCTACTTTATTTTGTTCAAACTTGCATTTGCTGTAATAACCCAAATTAAGGAACATTCCCCATTTCAGATGTTTAGCAATTTTCCGCTATCAAAAAATATGGATCAAAGAATTTGTAAAAAATGGAATTGAGTGCTCAAAAACACTTGAAGTATCGACAGTGGCATACGGTGATTGTACCCTGAGTCAGAAAAATGTTTATAAGTGGTACAAGCTTTTCAATGAAGACCGAGAAGATGTGAATGATGACGCTCGCCCTGGATGCTCTAGCTTCAGGAGTTATCACCATATAGTAGTACTATCAATAAGGAGTATTAACCTGAAGTTATGCGCCACTTGAGGGAAGCAATACGAAGCAATACGTCATTGCTTGTTCGTGTTTTTTTGGCCTAAAACAACTACGTAATCATGCCTCAGCCCTCATATTCACCAGATTTGGCCCCCTGTGAGTTTTTCCTGTTTCCAAGATTGAAGAGACCCATGAAAGAACAGCGTTTTTCGACGATTGAGAAGATAAAAACCGAATCGCCGAGGGAGCTCCAAGACATACTAAAAGTGCCTATCATAACTGCTTTGAGGATTGAAAAAAACGCTGGCACAAGTATATTTTATTGGAGGGAGACTGTTTGAAGGGTACAAAACAGAAATTGATGAAAAAATTAATATTTTTCGAGAAAAATGAAATTTAACCTTATTTTTTCAACAGACCTGGTATATCTCACCAATTTGTGAGAATTCTGGATTGAGTGCCACTGGTCCTGTGTTCAATGTCGGACTTCTTTTTACAAAATATTCGAAATTGAGTATAATAACAACAATAGGAAATATTTTGAATGATAATCTCTTCTTGTTATCAAATCTGATTATTTTTATCTCATTCAGGATATCTTTCACAAATGAATTTTATATTTATGAATCCCTACAATCTTCATTCTCACTAATAATGACCACATTTCTTGCTCGTTGAATAAAACTATCGACTTACCACCACCTCTCTGCAAACAAAAAAAGCTTCACTATATGATTGGCTTAGGGAGACTCAAGTATACTGCATATTATCCTGATTTTTTTCCGTCACAGTTTCCTCACTATAATCATCCCACCTTCAAACAGACTATTCCTGTATTTGAAAAGTTTCCCCGAATTTTCGACGATTTCCGCGTTACCCCCTGCGTACGTGCGACGACTGTCGAGTTTTTCATCCGAGAAGTATAAAAGTATCCAAGAACGAGACGAGTGTGGAAAGGGGAAATCATCAGAATCGAAAACGAGGAAATTTCTTTAAAACGTCAATCATCCAGTCGGTTGATGAAACTTCCACTCCTCGCAATGACAAAGTTTTGGGGAAAACAGGATTCGGTGCTTGCGACTTGAATTTTAATCAAAGTTTCTCCGAAACGACGATGTTTATCGTGAACGATGGGTGAGGGTTTCGGAAATGTTATAGAAACGTTATTTATTAAAAGAATAATACTAATGAATAAGAAGGTTTCAAATTTCAACTAGAAACAATCAACCAAAAACTATATATGCATATATGTACTATAGTACATTTTGAAAGAAATAACACGACCTTAATATTCTTGAGATGCAAATTTGTACGAGGTATGAAGTTTCATTTTTCTCAAAAGATAATCATTTATTCATCAATTCCTAGTTTGTCCCCTTCAAAGTAGTCCCTCTCAGATATAATACAATAATGCCAGTGTTTATTCCAATCCTTGAAACAGTTCTGATATGCATTTTTTGGTATGTATTTGAGACCTCTCAGCGTTTCGGTTTTTATCTCCACAATCCCACCAAACACAATTTTTCAATGGGTTCCTTCAATCTTAGGAACAGAAAAAGTCGCAGAGGGCCAAATATGGTGAATAAGGTGGCTGAAGTGTGAATATGGTGTTGTTTTTGGCAAAAAAATAAGAACAAGCAATGACGAGTGAGCAGGTGCGTTATCCTAATGCAAAAAGCCATGTATTGTTTTTCCACAAAATCAGACGTTTTTTTCGTAATGCCTCTCGCAAGTAAAATAATACTCCTTATTGACCGTACGATCATGTGGCAGAAACTCCTGATGCACTACGTCACGATAATCGAAGAAAACAGTGAGCCACTTTGACATTTGATCAAACTTGGCGTGCTTTTTTGGTCTTGCCCCTTCTGGGGCTCTTTCATTGGAACGACTTTGGACTTTGGTTTCGATGTTATTATGCTGTTTATTATGCACAGTTAGAAAGTAGACTACGTTATGGCTTGACCTTCTGCGCAACATCAACTTCATCGTCTTGTGTTTTTATAGCACAAAAACGTATTATACGTTCAATGTTGGGTTTGAGCTCTCGAACTTCCTGCAGAAATGCATTCAAAGACTTGGAGATATTAACCTTAGCCTCACTTTATATTGATTTTCTAGTGCAAAATTGCTTTTACTCCATAGAACAGTTTTTGGAACATCACTTCTGAGGGAATATTTTTTTTCTCATCTATTTATATACTTATATACTTTTGATTATCTGTTATATATAACCGTTTGTATGTTTTTTATGCGGTGTTTGCTATTTGTTTGTTGATGGTATATGCACTTTGTATAAAACCCTTCCTTTAAATTTTTCCATACAGCCTGTACTGTCTCAAGGAAATAAAATCATATTATTATCATTATCTTTTTTCATCGTAGTGTGCGCTGGTCAGGCCCTATCCCCCGAAGCCCCGATAAATTCAGAAGGCGCGCCAACATTATCAAACAATGACCACTCCCCGCACCGTGGGGTAAGTGATCATTGAGTCCGAGAATGACAGCCTCCTGCATCTGTGCGGCTAAGATTTCTGCCTTAGTGCGGCAAGCCAATATGATTTTAAGATTTGAGAGTAGAAAGAAAATCATTCCACCAAGGACTCCAATAATCAGAACAACCATCTTGACAGAGTGATCTGGATAGAGTCTGCGAAGTCTAGAAGTCTGTTCGAAGAGAAAATCTCGATATTTTATCCGTTTTTTCTCATCTTTTCTGACGATATTCGTCTCACCAGGAGCTGAAAACTCCACGACAAATATCGTTTTGGTCTGGTGGTCGAGAAGGGCCACATCAGGCTTATTAGCTTGTATGAGCCTGAGGGTGGGGAACGAATAGTTCCAATAAATTCGGCACTTCTCGTTCCCCACAACGGATTCAATATCTCCCGGAGCGTAGGGCAACACCGGTGTCTCGTCAATACCGTTAGAGTACCGTAGATGGTAATATAGCACTCTTAAGGCATATGCTGGACATGCCGATAGCAAGTGAATTAGGGTCTCGGCCGCCTCGCGGCAGGCGCTGCACCTTGTGTCAGGAACCTCTATACCC